AATTTTCAAACCGACATCAGTGCTAAGCCAATGAAGAGGTAATTTATGCACCTGAACCCAGAGAGAGAGACCTCCTTGAAGCCTGCATCACTTTCTGAAATATCTTCACGCCAGTCTTGGAGAACCAAATATTGGTTCTCAATTACCCAATTGACCCCTGCCATAACCTTTTCTTTGTCCTCCTTGCAGACGAAAGTGAAATGAAAGAAATTTGGAGCCAATTTCTTCACTTCTATTAGTTTCGACGTCTGCCACACAAAACTCATCGTTCTACGGATTCCGAATTTACTGGCTTTCCGGTCTCCGATTATTTTCCCCAGCAAACTACGGTGTCACTCCTCAGCACTAATACAAACATCCCCATCGTCCAATTCCACTCCACCACTCTCCTTAGAAGAGAGATTTATGTTTTGGAATCTATCCCCCAATTCCTCCGCCATGAACCCTAATCAAGTTACTTCGCACAATACCCAACAAAAATTGATCAAGACTCTAAAGAAATAGAAACCAGCAACAAAGAGATCTACGCCCCACAGAAAACAAACTCTTCTACAAGAGAATTAAACTCTCCATTGAGAGAATCGCCCTCTCCATTGAGAGAATCTTTTATGCAATTCTAAATTAATCCTATGTAAATGTAATAATTAATTAACATGCATAAACAATCATGCATTTCTAAATTAGTCGCATGCAAATACAATAATATTAACATGATAAATAAATAAATAATTAATGGCATAATGAATTTAAATAAATAAATCCACTATTATGGCCATTAAATATTGAGTTCCCATAAACAAGGAAACTTTGTATTCTTTCCATGTTCAACTGGAACTCCCACTGCAGCAGAATACTGGTTGATATCGTACTGCTTGCCCGCCAAGTAAAACCTCTCCATCGCTTAGCAGCCTGCCGCCGCCGCCCGCCGGTGGTCGAAAATCGCTGGTGGTGGATATTTTTTTGTTTTTGATCTCGCGCGTTTCGCGCGTGTTCCTCCGGGCTTCGGTCCGGTTAGATTTTCGAGACTCGTTGATCTCTTGTGATCTCCCGGAAATCAATACACAATCACAACACGAAAAATATAATTTACAACATTACATAGTCTTATCTTAGATCCAACGAATTGATGTACATGTTTTTTTAAATAAAATAATTAAATCTATTCGGTCAACCCCCGGGAGAATAATTATTACAAACATTCATCCATGAATTCCTCGCCATGTCCGAGGCTTTAAAAACAAATTTAAAACCATATATCACATTCAATAACATTCATCAAACACATATTCGCCCATAATAGTGAATTAAACTAATTCCTCCAAAACCGAGTTATGCGAATATAATCCAATATATGGTTGCTTTTGAACACATCTTGTTAAATAAAGCCGTAAAATTTCGAACTTGTACAAAATAAAATAAACCTAGTGCTCTGATACCACTTGTTGGGATCTATGAGGATCTCGTTATGTACAAATGACAAATTCAATAGCAAACATAAACCTATGCGCAATGGATTTAAAGGTTTGCGTAGAAAACTTACGGCTTAAAATTTTTGGGCTCGGCGAGCTTGCAGCTCCGGTCCAGTCGGTTCGCGGCGGACGGGTCGGCGGTCCTCGGCCTTCGGGTCTTGGATCGTCGTTTGCTGTAGAAGATTATCGGGTCTCGAACACCTATTAATCTTCTACTGTATATCTCAAACACCCTCTTCAACTTGTACGATAGAACAACCAGAAGAAGATAAAGCTCGAATTGGAACTAAGAGAAAGAGAGAGATGGGGCGCACGATGGGTCGTGTATTATTATAATCTTGTCTCTTCTCTTCCCATGAGGTTAATGAAGTATATATAGAGCTACAATAGTGACCCTTAGGAGATTAGGAATATGACTCCTTAATTAATTAAAATACTTGTGAGTCAGCCCACTTATTCTAATTAATTAAATAATAGTAAATGGGTCACCAACATAATATCATTGCACTCCCTTTTTCTAGCCCAATTTACAATTGAGACTCCAATTGTAATTACTCGATTTATCTCCCCATGTTTAAGATATAATGTCCATTAATTAATTTGATTACTGATAATCAAGAATTAATTAATTTATTATTATTTCACCGAATCTAGCGCTCATTCATCACATTATTACTATGCCGGAATCTAATCCACCTACAGGGCTTAACATAATAATCCCTCATGAACTCACTCAGGGGACATCATCAAACTAAACGTACATGGTGACCGTAAATATCCTTACAGCACATCTTACATGTAGCAATATTACCCAAGACAGAGGGTCTATTGGTCCAGTTCACTAAACCTCACCCATGTGAATACAAGTAATAAATTCTACATATATATGTATGTTTAATATCTTACGGGTTAAGAACACACTGTAATTAACCGAGGCCTAGTTCGTTTACGAAGATCAGTATAAAACAAACCGCTCCTCTCTGAGATCATGTTCAATACATAAATGTACTATTGCAACTAATCAGTCAAGACAAACTGTACAGTTGACACTACAACCGTTCTGATGGGGTGCTCATGTCCATCTAGGTTGTGAACCATTAATTCTTGTTTGGCGAGTAACTGATAATATGATCTTCAGTTCGCCCGATGACGACCCACACTATCAAATGCAAAACAACAGAACGTAGAAGTTGTTTAATCTAACATGTTTTTCATTCATAAAGGGTAAAAGTGTAAATCATACAAAGTCAAACTTTCAGTACATACGTTCGTTCGTTGGAGTCGAGCCACCAAGTGCGTGCCCGTGCACCGAATCCGACCCAGACGCGTCCCTGCGCTCTGTTCAACGCTCGTGCATCCGTCCGACGTACGTTAATGCAATATCTTTCATTAGTCGTGGTTCAAGAATGCCCCTGCGTCAATGACCTTGGCACCATTTCAGACCCATGCTTCGGCTAAGCCGTGTCAGCCGAGTTCGTGTCGGCTCCGAGTCGCCATGCCGAACCCGAACCACGGTTAAGCCAAGATGCATATAGTCAAGCAAATTATCGGCCGATTTTGAGTGCGCCGCTGGTCCAATTCAGTTGAACCAGTCCGGATAGACCGGACAGTTCGAAGAGAACGCAAGTTCAGCCGAATCAGTCGTGGCAGTCTGGACGATTTGGGAGATTCAGTTCAGAACATCGGTTTGAGCATGAACCGAGATGTGCAATATTTTTTCTTAACCAGTCAGATAAGATCCAATCAAATTAAATTCAGTCAGATTGTAGTTCCAGCCTTAGAATTATCTCGAAAAACTCTAGTATGCCTCAAAGACAATAAATTTTCAAAATCAGCTCGTAAATTCCTAAAATGAGTTTTAAATGATTTTAAAACCGAGTGAGCGAATCTAGTCCGATCAGATAATAAGATTCGAGTATTTCAGTTGAGCTAAGTACTTAGAATATATATTATGCTTATATATTTTGTAGCTTGTGGGTAGTCCAACCTCCGACAGTGGCAATCCATTCATCACATTGCACTTCAGGATATTAGGTACGGACCCTGTATGGGTACTACAGTTTTTATAATCACAACATCATGGCTGATGTATGTATATAAGAGTTAGTTTGCCTGAATAGGGGAAATCACTTAGCGAGTAGGTCCTTTCTAGCAAAATGAACCGAACGCTAGTTAAGATGAGACAAGAACTCTAGTGCAGCTTTGAGGTAAGTGAATTAAGAACCTTAGAACAGCTTCGAGTGAAGTTGATATTTCAGATGAGGATAGAATAATTCTTCTCTAAGGGGTAACGACCTAGAGATAAGTTTCATTACAACCAAGTGTTTGGAACTCCAGTTAGTATCAAGGGCTCTAGTGCAGTTCTGAGTTAAGCTCTAACTTTAGAAGTACATAAGAGTTAGTTTGCTCTAGCATGAGCAACGACCTACATATTAGGTCCCACAGTTGCTTATCACAAGCGCGAAGGCCAAGTGTCCTTCTCGTCAGTTAAGCAGTAGTTATAGACACTCAGTTGAGTAGCAGTTATAGACAGTTAGTTGAGCAGTAGTTATAGACAGCAAATTGAGCAACAATTTAGGCAGTTTACTTATTTATGCCTTTGTGATTTGTTTTATCATATTAGATGTATGCTTAGATTGTGATTCGTTTCTCATATTAGATGTATGTTTAGGTTGTGATGTGCTTATATATTAGAGGTATGTCTAGTTCGCGATGCTGCAATTATAATCAGTCAGCCGAGCAACAGCTATAATCATTCAGTCGAACAACATTTATAGTCAGTCAGTCGAGCAGCGGTTATAGTCAGTCAGTCGAGCAACAATTATAGCAAGATTAATCGAGTAGCAGTTATAGTCAGTCAGTCAAGTAACAGCTATAGATAATTTACTTATTCATGTATTTATTGGATGTATGTTTAATTCGCGATCAGTTAGTAAAATGTTTATCATCGTATCATTTCTGTCAATCCAGTAAGTACTTGCATATATGTCGATGCTATAATATGTTATTATCTTAGTTTTATATTTAGTGTAGGTTCCGGCGGAGCATCGTTGATTCATTTATGCTCACACACCCCCACTGACCAGTTTTCAAGTGACGGTGTCGAGCGTGGAGCGTGAGCGGATGATGTGGTGGGGGTCATAGCGAAGATATTTTTGAATAGACATGTCGTGTATATTTAAACATGTTTGAGTTATTATGTTTTGTTGATGCATGCTTGCATTTGCTTCCGCACTCAGTATTCGGTACTCAGAACAACAGTCAATATTCATATTTCAGATTATGTATGCCTAAAATCCTGAGATTTATATGGCGCCTTATTAGAGTAATGAATTATGTCTCGGTTGCATGCATAATAGTAAAATGAGAATAGCAATGAGAATTCAATTCAGTTGAGTAGCATCCCGCAGTCAGAATAGAGTAATTTCGAAAAAGTTAAATTAAGTTTTCGAAAATTAAATCAGCGTTATTCCAATTATAGCGCAAAAAATTTACTCCTATTTTAGTAAGTTTAGGCGGGTGTTACAGCAGCTACCCAAGGATTGTGCACGAATCACGTCCAGGTTTCACGAAGCGCATGTCACCATGTGCGCGAGCCAGTACTAGAAACGTGCAAGTTGTGCGAGAAGTTCGTGTGCTGCCTGAGGCGTGCACGAACTCACCTCGCAATTTTTGCACAGGGTCCAGTGCTACACGCGACCCGACGCCGCTTGAGCCTTAGAGCAATAATGTCATGGGCGTGCAGCGACACATAGGCG